GTCATGATAACGTTTAGCGCGCGATGTGAATCACGTAGAGCATTGAGTTTTCATGAGGAGGTGGTTTGAATTCACGCATCAAGAATCATTAAATATCTTCGTAAGGAGTTAATTTCGGTAATTTTCGTTGTGTGCATCGTGTTTTACGTAAAATTCTGGATAAGAAACATGTATCAGAATGCTTAAATTCGTACCTTGTCTAGTGGTCCATTGCACCATATTGATCTGTATTAAGCAATATCGATAAAATGTTACTTTTGAGGCAGAAAAGGGTGTTAGTAAAAGATACGACTTTATTATGAACAGGGATTATTGGCCAAAAGTAAAACAAATTACACAGCGGGTAAGAAGGCAAATGTTCGCGTAAATATCACCAAAACGCTATTCGGCTGAGAAGTTAGCCTTGTTACCATCTGTGTAATTTGTTTTTTTTATTGTATATCTTGTCACGGGCTGCGGAGCATCAATCATATCTCATTGGCCAAAAAATAGATCATACCTCTAGGCTGTGGTGCATAGTTAGGTCATTTCATTTTTTTTCCAAAAAAAAAGAAGATCAATAAATCCAAAATTAGAAAAAAAAATCCACCTAAAGGGCCCTTTTGCCTCCTGAATTCATAGCATATACACTAGTGGGCATGAAGTTTTGAGAATTTGTAAAATTCATCGCCACCCTCCTATCCTGCTCTCTTTCTCTTGTAAATTTTAATACTTTTTTTTGAAATTTCTTGATTCTGATATTTCTCTGATATTAGCACGATTTTGCGCTCTTACCGAAGGATTCACCGAAAGTACTTCCGGTCTTTGAGGAGGATGCAGTGAACTTGTTGGCCGAGATGGAAGGTCCGAATTTGCCTTGGTTGAGATTGAAAGATCCACCGTTTACTCCTGAATTTTCGCCTGAGATTCATCCGTAATTCAAATTAAATACCATAAAATTCACCGATCCAAGTTAGCATAAAAAATTCGTTCAGCAATACACATCATTAAAAACATTTGAAAAAAAAAAAACTTGCTGCCTATGAAAAATAAGCGCTATCATTTGTAAAAAAAAAATCAAATAATCTTATCTCATGAAGTAAACACTCTTTGAAAATTGGACTTAAAAGGAAATAGGTATATGATGCAGATCTCACTTAAATATGTAGGAAATGTGACACCAAGGCTGTTATCCTTTTAATCAAACATATTATATTAGCTCATCGTCATCGTGATCTAAATATCGCAAATTTTGTCACCTGTTACATTATCTATTTCATTATTCAGATCAAGTTTAATAAGAGAAGCCCACACTCATGTCAGTTTAGAAATACAATTCATAACTGTACGGTTTATGGATTTCAAAATTCGAAGTATTGCCTCTACTTACGAAATTTCAAGCCCTTCTAAAAACTCCCACCCATGGAGAGGATTTTAAAAAAAAGGCAAGCTACATATATTTTCATCAGTATAAAGTTTATTTTACTTTTCCTTACTTCTGAGTTACATTCCTTTCTTTCTCACTTCGTCTTTGAAATAATTGAGAAATATTATTGCTTGAAAATTAACATTTTTCTTAACTTTAAGACCTCAAAATAATGTCCTCAGAAAACTTTCAAGTGGACATCATTCAGTCATCTGCCTTCAAGTCAATAAATAATCGAGATTTTTTTTTTCATTGCATGCGTCTCAATATTTTCTCTTCCCGTATACTTATTCAGCTCAGAATAAACAAAATAATTATTAACCGAGGGCATCTAATGTATCGCCTATTCCTCACTCATTCACCACTCGTTTTCCTACAGTAATTTATTCACTGGGAGAACATTATTTACTCGTATATTCAGAAGGTGAGAAGTAGTGCCTAGTAACCCCTTACCGAAAGAGGATCCAAACTTAGAGCCTTGTGTAGCAGCGTTGGTCTCAATGTTTGAGCCAGAACCACCCCATCCACCTTGTCCGTAATTTCCGGCGCCGCTGAAACCGCTTGCACTGCTGCCTTCGTTTCCACTCCCAGATTTGCTGTAACTACCTGCTCCTGAGCCACTAGTAGAGCCACCACTTCCGCTTCCGGAAGTACTTTGACTTCCGGATCCTGAAGAGCTGGTGGAGCCGTCAGTTTCGGTTGTGCTATGACTTCCGGATCCTGAGCTGCTAGTCGAGCCTTTGCCGTCAGTTTCGGCTGCGCTGTGACTTCCGGATCCTGAGCTGCTAGTCGAGCCTTTGCCGTCAGTTTCGGCTGCGCTGTGACTTCCGGATCCTGACGAGCTGTATCCACCTTTGCCTCCACTTCCTGATCCGCTTTGACTTCCGGATCCTGAAGAGCTGGTGGAGCCCTTGCTTCCACTTCCGGATTTACTCTGACTGCCAGAGTTTGAAGAGCCGTAACCTCCTCCTACCTCCTGGGTTGGAGCGGCTGAAATGGTAGGTTTAACAATAAGTGAAGACCGAAAAATTCAGCGAAAATTATGAATGTAAATGACCGTTTACCGCCATGTAAGTGTCTATGACATAGATCAAAACAGCCTATCCAGATGGAACTCCTTACATTTTTCCAAGAGGATTAAAGCGTTCTCGTATGAATTTAGCACTACTCCCATACTATATCTCGTGGGTTGGCTGTGATTCATTTTTTAAATTCGACGGTTAAACCCTCAAACCAGGCACCCCGTTTGCGGTCACTAAAAATGTCCGCTCACAGTCGCATGTTGTTAAAAGAGAACGAATCAATCACTCCTTGAAGTTTTTGCAAAGATTCCTTCGCACAGAGAAGGAAAATCATGGAGGTTTTCAAAGATTTGCTTTAGATAGTTTTTCATTTAAAAAATAAAGTATGACAAGAAGTCTGCAACGTCGCAAACCGAAACTCATGCCCTGATAGTCTCACCGTCGATACCTATGCAAAAGGCTGAATTTTTTGTGTTTTGAAAGTTCTACGCATAAATAACGGTTAATTTCTTTAACTTAAAAATATTTGTCTTGGAAAAAAATTCTAACTTTTGTAAAAAGTAACGAGTAGGGCTGGGTATTTTACAAAGGTCTATGTTACTCCAACATTTGCCTTCCTCGTGAGTTCTAAGAAGAGAGCCGGATTTTTCTTCGATCCATGGTGCAATTTAGAAGTGCTTAGGTATCACAAAAAAATGGGAGAAAAGGAACAGAAGAATTGAATAACTAAGAAAAATAGTTTAACTTATGCTTTTTAAAAAAAGTGAAAGGAAATTTACCTCTCAAGGAAACTAATCCCACTAGCACGCAAAGCGTGAAAACGCACATAAGTGTAACTTTCATGGTAGAAAACGGAAACCACTAACGGAACTCGAACGAAACCTAAAACTCAGGTACCGGTAGAGAATCCTAACTTTTGGAGGACGAGGGTGAACTGTGGTTAGATCCTCGCGGCTGCAGTATTTAACTTCAAGCTCTATCGCAAATTCGTGTTGATCGTGCTGCGAGCGACGTAAAATCGTGAGGCCCCCGTGAAATTTTCTCGCGATTTTCGAAAGAATCACGAAAGCCTTAAAGATTACTAATCTCTAAGGTTTATGCACAAAGTTATTAACTCCTTTCTTTATTGCTTTTTTTACCCGGAAATTAACTTCAAAAACTGTCCCATTATTTTAGAATATCTTTTTTCCTCGTTCCTTCGAGATTTTCTTCACTGGGAAAAAAAAATCGCTTGGATCTAGAGTACAGACCCCTAAAAATATTGACAAGAAAAAATACCCTTGATTCAATAGGATTTTTGCTTGAATCAAAAGGAAATCCGCTCAAATTAAGAGGCTAGGCTCTTTGATTCAAGGAAAAATCCCATCGAATCAAAAGTATTTTTTCCTGTTAATGTCGTTATGACTCTGGACTCTAGATCCCAGCTACTTTTTTTCCAGTGTTTCTTCATCAAGGTTACTTAATTTTACCCTGATTTAGAATTGCACTTTGCAAACACCTAATCTAAAGAAGGCCTTCCAATTCGGTTGATCAATTTTTAAAAACGAAGGTAAATTTTGGGGATTTCGAGGACCTTCCGCTCATCTGACCACCCGTGATATCAATATATGTATAAACATCACACGGCACTTTGTCATTAACATCCCTGTATAATGGATCTCTTTGCTCAGTGCAACGATCACTCTTCCGAAATTTTCTCAATCCAATAACAACAAATTCCATGAGAAAAATTCTGCATACCAACCAGATTTCAAAAATCAATATCTCTGGGGAAACTAATTGTCAACTATGCCATGGCAAATGACGAAAATGCCGAGCGATTTTCATAGACAATCATATGTTCGATGACATCACCTCGCATTAATACAAAAGCATTTTTTTAAAGTAATAATATTGGCATGAGCGGAGCTAGACATTTTTACGGAGTGATTCCAAGACTCATTTACCCCGCCAAAATCAGTCTCACGCCGCCGGTTAAAAAAATACACTGATCCTGCTCTACAGCCATATAACTAAGTGGCACTGTTCAACCATACTGCGCGGAACATTTCGACGGTGCAGAACTACCCCAAGTATAGCAGTGATCGCGATAAATAGCGATTTTATCGGTTGGTTATCGCGATTATATCAGTGGCAATGTATCGAGATATTGTCGCATTAGAAATTGCGACTTAAGGTGACTATTAAATAGCTACACATCATAATTTTTTTTTTTTTTTCGATAAAATTGCGATCAATTTTCGTCGATACAATCGACATTAAATCGCCATTAATCGCGATTTTTATTTCGAACATATTGCGATAAATTGCCTGGCAATGAAATCGCGATTTTATCCCGATAAGATCGAGGATAATCTCTCAGATGTTGATGATCTTAACGATTTAATCGCCGATAAATTTGCAATTCATCCCGATTTTTCCATTGGAAAATGCTACTTGGGACCTGTCATATTTAGTTTTTCAAATAGAAAACTACTCAATGGCAGTTTTTTAAAACTGCCATGATTTTTCTTCTCTGGCCGAGGAGAATTTTATGAAAACCTCAAGGATTTGATGTTGATTCGTTCAAGTGTTCAAAAATCAAACGGGAGCAGAGATTTTTAAACTCCACAGACGATGATTTACGTGATTTGGGAGTTTTGCCATTGATTTGAGGTTTACAGCAGTGGCGTGGCGTGGCGTGAATTGCAATGTATTGATTGTTATGCCTTTTAAACCTACGGTGAAGAATCGATTATTAAGGCGTTCGCTGGGGACACTCTGTTTATCGATCATTTTCCATAGGTTTAAATAGGTTTCCATAGGTTTCCATAGGTTTCCAATAGGTATAAAAATCGATATATCGCAAAGCACGCCACGCCACTGGTTTACAGTTATCAGGATGGCACAAATTCGCAAAATATTTAAGGAATCTGTGATATGCGCTCCTGGATGTTTCTTTTTGACATAAGCGGAAATAGGAATTTGTCGTGAGGGGGGGGGGGCGGGCAGAAAGGCCATTCGTCAAAGCGAGATCTTTGCAGTATTCGCTTTGCACCAAATGAGGGTTAGAGGGATTTCCCCAGCTTCAAAATGAGGTTCAGTGCGGGAGTCCTTTCCGGAAAAATTTTTCAAAATTAAGTCGTCTCAAGAGCAATTGAGCTGTTCCCGCTAAAAATGGATCCAAATATAAGTATTTAAAATAAAAGAGATATGGCAAGCACTTACTTTAAAAAAATCTCTCATATTTCTTGGGAGGAGTCAAGTAGTGTTCCCAATGATTCCTTCGTAAAATAAGTAAGGGGCAAAATCGACCCGCTTATGCCTCAAACCTGTACACCATGGTGCGATATCAAAAGCAGCTTTATTATTAAATCGATGCAGTAAATTGACATTTCGATCTAATCGCCCGATAACATATAACTAAAAAACCACCCAGAAAGCTCACCGAAAGCGTTTATGCTGCAAACCTCTAAAATTAAAAAAGGTGTTGTCAGGTGTGGGGTTCGAACCCACGCTCACACTGTGAACCAGAGCTTAAATCTGGCGCCTTAGACCGCTCGGCCAACCTGACTCCGTGTCTAACAATTGTGCAAATAACAAAATTCAGATACTGGTTGAATCATCAACTTATTATGATATAATTTTATTATGAAAATAATGTCCGGATCCGGGGGAGGGGGGGTGCCATAGTGGCATGCTCCTCCCTCAGGCCAAAAAAGGGGGAAAAAGGGAAGGGAAAGGGAGAGAAAAGGGAGAAAGTAGGTAGAGAAAAAAAAGTGCACCTAAAAATTTACATAAATGGTTTTAAGACAGAACTGTGTAACCAACGTTTACTAAACCAAAGGTTACTCAACACCGCAGAAACCATACTCTGATATGAAGTTACGCTAAAAGAGGTATTATCCGTCAATTTTCAACTTTCAATGTGTCTCCGATTGTGTGTCCGATTTCAAAGTGTCTGAATGTGTATAATGCCTCGAGTTTCAGCTCAGTGCCCCCAATTTCCCGGAACTAGTATACCAAATTTCGAAACTTTCGAGATTTTCCTGAATTTTTCCCGGAACTTTTGAAATTCCCGAAATGTTTCGGATCTTTCGCAATTTCCAAAACTTTTGAAAAAAATCTATAAAGAATCGCAAAAACTTGACGGTCATGGAGTGGAAGAAATTGGAACAAAAAAGTTTCGAATCCCGGAACTTTTGGCGGACATGGAATGGGAGCACCGTTTCAGCTTAATTAATCAACTTTTGGAGCCGAGGACCTAAGTTTTGTATGGCTAAGTCATGGGCCATAGGCTATTTCCGGGAAAAGGGCCCATTAGCTTAAGTGCCCTACTTCTGGAAAACTGCGGTTCAGCCAATTTTCCGTGCCCAGTTATGTGTAAGTACAGCTGTAATGGTAGCATGTAGCAGAGTTGGCCACAAATCGCTGCCTCACAACGTATCACATCTTTCTATCTCTGGGAGCGGCGCACAGTGGATCGCGTCCATTCGAGACGTCGGACATGAAATTTTTGACTAAAACTGCAAATTTTGATGTATATTTCGTCACAATTTCAACTTAAAAGGGTACTTTTGAAAGAAAATTTCACAAAAAACCAATGAAACCACTTTTAGAACCTCAAAATTGTGTTAAACGGAGGTATATGCGTTTAAAGTTTCCAAATTTCGTCCGACCTCATGTATTGACTCGATCCACTGTGCGGCGGCCTCCCACGGACGTGACATTGGTGGGGAGATAGCGCCCTGTTCTAACTGGTAGGCATGGAATACTTTCGACGCCAAAGAAGATTTTTGTTTATATATTTTATTATCCTGAAGAAGTTTATAAACTTTAGTTTTGTTCAGAAACTCGTTCAAGCCTCAAAAGGCCAGCTCCAAAAGCCAAAATCCATGACCACCGGTGCATTCCCAGAAAAAAGGGCATATAACGGAAAATTTTAAATAAATTCCTCCCAAAACTCTGAAAGAAGTGTAAGTTTTACCAATGATTGCTATTCATTCTTGGGTGTACATAAACTTTGATCTAAGTGTCCGGGTTCTGGTGGAAGTCACCATCATTGGGCAGAAACAAATAATGAAAACATCAATTGATTTTTCTCACGACGCGATTTTCCAGTGGGTGTGCCCTTATCGGGAGCCCTCTTTACTTCCTTCCTTCTTTTGTCTTTACTCTCAAAGTCAGCCGTGCGGGAGAAGAAGAGCTCCTGGTGAGTTTTCTTTTTTTCTGATTTCCATCGAAAAATGTTTTAACTTTTGCGATGTGAAGCGTCTTCAAAACGGCCAAACTCCTCTTGAGGTTTACTCTTGGTGTTTTTTTTTTGGGGGGGGGGGG